CACACACACACACACAAGCAAACATTGCTAAAGAGTAATTCTCGGCGAGAGGCATACACTAACACTCTGTCAGAGTAGGTTCATCATTCATACTGCTTGCTTCTCAAAATGACTGGAACTGATCATTGTGAGCGTGTTTGCGAGAGGAATATTGTGTATGCATGAAGTATGTGAGCGAACAAATGTATGCTTGCATGGGGAGATGGGGGGGGGGGGACCTGTCCACGCCCTGTTTTATAGAAGCAGCTTGTTTCTCTTCCAACACACACTCACACAGTGTGAATTATAAAATGCCACTTGACTCTGCGGAAAATGAGCAAGTCAAAATGAAACCAGTTACAGTTGGAAGTGAAAGAACAACTTCCAGTAGTAGAAAGCAGGAACGTGCATAAGGACTGAAGCCCCGGAAAGGGCTAATGTGTTCCTCATAAGAGGTTTTGTCTAGTACAGATGTTCCCCTTGTAGGAAACATCCAGTAATGCCTCAAAGTGCAGTAATAAGAGGTTTTCCTCTAATTTAGGGGTTGGGGGTGAAGGAGAGGAATGCAGAGAAAGACAGCAGTATGGGTGGGGCCCATGAAATATACATAAACAAGTGACTCACACTCACACACACACACACACACACACACCATTGTATCTCAACAAGACATTTTTGGTCCAAAAATACACATTCAAACACAACAACCTGACAGCAATTATGCCATAGTCATTATCCACACATGTGTGAAATTTTGCAGCCCCCTTTGATCCTGTGAGCAGAGCTTGTTAATGCACTGATTTCCTTCAAGTGCATGATGGTATTTGCTTAAGGAAGGGGTGATGTCAACGGGCAGGAAGTCAGCAGGTGGGAAAGAGGAAGAGGAAATGGCCCTTCCAGTAAAGTCCTGCAGTGTGTCTAACAGGATTTTATACTGAGCATCTGGGGCCAGGAATGCATGGGAACAGTATAGAGTATGTGAGTATGTTTGTGGATGTATTTGTGTAGGAAGAAAGGGAGGCGGGGTGGTGTGTGTGCCTCAGTGATGTCATGAAGTGAGAAGCAGACAACCTGGTCCTGGTGTTCCCACCACGCACAGATGAGACAATGACGCAGCATGACTCTAAAATTGCGGACGTGTGTGTGTGTGTGTGTGTGTGTGTCTGATGCAAGCTCCCTGTGAAGGACACAGAAAGTGTCAAATTTTCTACACACATGTGCACACACACACCACACACACACACACACACACACACACACACACACACACACACTGTAAAAGACTGTAAAAGACTTTTGTTGTTTTTAGTCAATTTAAAATTTTTCCCCCTCTTCCTCTCTTCTCTTCCTACAGCAGTAAGAAGGTGGAGTCTGAGGGTGGGGCTAGCGCTGCTAAGAAGGATTCCAAGAGGAAGAGAGAGTCGTCAGTCAGCGACGAGGTGGAGGTGAAGTCTCCGCCCCCCTCACCTCCAGAAGAAGAGGACGACGATGGCGTGCAGGTACGGGCCGCGCACTAGAAAGGCAGTAGTGCTGTTTGAACTTTCCAGTCCTAATAAATAAAATTCCACAGAGGATTCAAAGTCATTGCTGATGTTGCGCTGCAGAAGGCGCCCATAAAACCTTTGCAGATCCCTCAGTGTCACAGCCTGTAGCAATAGAAGGCGTCTACTGTTTGTGTTGTAAACCAGCTTTGTTGACAGACCAAGCAGACAGGTCCCACTGCCAAGTTCACATGAGCAGCACTTTTTGCAAGATTGAAAATGTACTCATTTTACGTGTATTTTGTTTGGAAGTTGCTCTTTTTGAGGAACCAGCAGAACTCTATTATATCCCTCCTCAAACACATCCATTTTTTTTAATGCGCAAATGTGATTATATGGGCCATGTAAACAGAGCAGCATCTGGCTATTAGCTGCATAAAGAGTTGTGGCTCTAATTCAAATAGGAAAGCACCTCAATAGCAGTACATCCTCTTTAGCCCATTCACTACAGCAGGTTTTTTTGTTTTACATATTATTTGGCAACATTTTGAGCCGAGCAAATTTGGTGATGTTTTCTTCAAAGTCAATATAGGAAACACGCTGGACTATATTGAACAGAAGAATGAATAATGAAAATGAAGTCTGTTTCTTGGAGGACAGCCTGGTGAATGATAAGCAGACTATAGTTTCCTGTCTGCATCTCTGATTTAATATAGCTTAATATACTATCATCCCTCTTTGGAGATGGTGTTTATTTTTTTATTTTTTAATGAAGTGAAGGATATGGTGAGAAGTCATCCAGTTGCTGAGCTGGACAGGTTACAGAACTACAGCCGATTTAACAAAACCTTTCTGTCTCTCCTTCCCGTCAAACAGAAGCGTCGCTCCAGCCGTCAGGTGAAGAGGAAGAGGTACACTGAGGACCTGGAGTTCAGGATCTCTGATGACGATGACAGCGGCGACGACTCACCAGCACCTAAGTCACCATCATCATCACAACAGCAGGTACAGCTCTGCTTTCTGTCATTGGTTTAGAGTGTGTGGCCACAGTCTGACGTTGCAGATCTTCAGACATGGCAGAGTTGAATGATATGAGTATGTATACAGAAAGAACTCCCACTGAGGTATCCATCTCTGAACTATATTTGGGGAGATACCTTGACGTTTTTCTGCCAGCAAACATTCCCGTCTATCTATTGCATCTGTGAATATTCCCTCGATAAAATTAAATTGAGTATTCCATGAAGATTTTATGCACCCCTAACACATGGCATTTGAAAGTAAAAGTTCCTGCCTCTCCTTTATAAGATTTCTAACGTTTTCTTTTTGTGTCTACAACAAAAACAGTCAAGTACCAAAAGCTGGCATCAAGTGTGTGTGGTTAGATTTAGCCCAATGTGCAAGGAGAGGACAAAAGCAGTAGTTTCTCCCGCCTCCTTTTGTTAATTTCAAGAGGAATCTGACCAATTTGGAACCCGGTGGCATAAAAATAACTATATAGAAATAGCTAGACTTCTCGCTGATGGTCTTGTTTGTTTATGTAGGTCATATCATATCAAACCACTTGAACTGCTTGTAGTACATCTAAATGTACAAATATTCTTAAACATCCAACAATACTAGCGCTCGCTACCAGCATTTTGTTTTGTCCGGTGACATCCAATGATAGTGAAAATGCAAAACACATTACATTTGCCATGTCAGTTTTACCGGAAGAAACAGTGAGTTGTGAATGGCTTTAGCTTTGACAAAGACGTTTCAGACCTGGGTTTAGAGGAATTCTTTATCAGCAGCTGGATCAGGAATGTGTGACAGGCTGGATGAAGCTCCAACATTTAAGTTGTTCTGTGTGTTTTTCAGGATGTGGCTGAGGCTGAGGGGCCTGTTGTGGAGAAGATCATGGGCACCCGCAACACCAAGAAACAGGTGAGATACTCAGACACACACACACACACGCACGCCAGAGATACAGAGACATAAACACACGGACACTCTGGCAAGAGTCATGGGTTACGTCATCTGATTAGCCGCTCCACAGCTGGCCTAAGCAAATTACACACACACACACACAGAGCTCAGGCAGCATGTATTCACTTGGTAAGCGGATACAAGACTTCTTGTATTTTAGTATGCATGCGTGTTTGGAGCTCGGAGTGTGCGTGTGTGTGTATTTGATTTGCCAAAAAAGGGCGGATTTGCCCTGCATTTGCATCTGCTGTTCGTGTGTGTCGTGTGGTGTGCACACGTGTGTAGAAAATTGACATTCTGGCTCCTTCACAGGGGAGCTTGCTATCACACACACACACACACACACACACACACACGTCCGCAATTTTAGAGTCATGCTGCGTCATTGTGCTCATCTGCTGCGTGGGTGGGAAACACCAGGACCAGTGTTGTCTCTGCTTCTCACTTCATTGACATCCACTGAGCACACACCATCCACCCCGCCTCCCTTTCTTCCTACAAAATACATCCACAAACATACTCACATACTTCTATACTGTTCCCATGCATTCCTTGCCCCAGATGGATCAGGTATAACATCCGTTAGACACACTGCAGACTTTACTGGAAGGGCCAATTTCCTCTTCCTCTTTCCCACCTGCTGACTTCCTGCCCGTTGACCATCACCCCTTCCTTAAACAAGATACCTATCATGCCCACTTGAAGGAAATCAGTGCCATTAAACAAGCTCTGCTCACAGGATCACAAAGGGGGTGCAAAATTTCACACATGTGTGGATTTGGATAATGACTATGCATAATTTGCTGGTCAGGTTGTTGTTTTTTAATGTGTATTTTTGGACCAAAAAATGTCTTGTTGAAGATACAATGGTTGTGTGTGTGTGTGTGTGTGTGGTGTGAGTGGTGAGTCACTTGTTTATGTATTATATTCATGGGCCCACCCATACTGCTGTCTTTTTCTGCATTCCTCTCCTTCACCCCAACCCCTAAATTTTAGAGGAAAACCTCCTTATTACTGCCACTTTGAGGCATACTGGGATGTTTCCTACAAGGGAACATCTGTACTAGAAGAACTCTTATGAGTGAACACAATTAGCCCTTTCCGGGCTTCATTCCTTATGCTACTTCCTGCTTTCTACTAACTGGAAGTTGTTCTTTCACTTCCAAACTGTAACTGGTTTCATTTTGACTTGCCTCATTTTCCTGCAGAGTCAATGGGCATTTATAATTACACTGTGTGAGTGTTGTGTTTGGAAGAGAAACAAGCTGCCTCTATAAAACCCGAGGGCGTGGACAGGTCCGCCCCCCCCAGTATGTTAGGGATGAACATCTCTCGTGTTTTCTTTTGATATTAA